AAAAACCTCTCTAATGGTTGGGATGCCTGGGTGACTCAGTCGGTTAAGCGTCTGCCTTTGGCTCAGGTCATGACCCCAGGGTCCTGGGATCAAGTCCTGCATCCGGCTTCTTGTTCAGCAGGGAGCCCTCTGCCTGCCGCTCCCCTCTGCTTGTGCTCTCTCTCTCTCTGACAAATAAATAAAAAATCTTAAAACTCTCCAATGGTTTCCCAGCCTCTTAGAATAAACCCATCTTCCTTACTACTGTCTGCTCTGGCACCTTCTACCTGCTCTGAATTCACTTTTTTTTTTTAACAGATTTTATCTTTAAGTAATCTCTACACCCAACGTGGGGCTCAAACTCACAATCCCGAGATCAAGAATCACAAGCACCACTGATTGAGCCAGCCAGGAGCCCCTGAATTCATTTATCCACCTCTTTCCCTCCTTCATTCCTCATGGATCACCCTGATGCCCTTGTGTGGGTTCATTCATCCATTCAGTGTATTTGCTGAGATCACAGTATGTGATCACTGCACAGAGTAAGAGAAACAGCAGTGAAACCAGACAATCCTGCCCACATGGAGCTGCCATGCTCATCAGGGAGGGACAGGCAACAGCAAACAAAATGTATTAAGTGCTTTGAGAGACAATGACAAGCAAAGTAAGGGTGGAATCGGGTGGTCAGAGGTAATATTTAGGACTCAGAGGAGAAGAAGCTGGAGAAGAGGGTATTTCAGGCAGCAGGAGCAGTGGGGGCATTGTCCCTTGGTCAGGAAACGAGCTTGGTGAGTTCTAGGACAGCGAGGAGGCTGGTGTAACCGGAGAGGAGGAAGTGAGGGCAAGTGGTGGGACAGGATTTTACTCCTAGGGAGAAGCCACCATAAGAGAGTTTGAAAAAGGAATGATTTATCTGGCTTCTGTTTCATGAGCTCTCTGGCCACAGATGGGAGATGGACTGGAGGGAAGGTAGCCCAGTGTGGAGGCTGTGAGAATGGAGAGAAGCACCTGGATAGATACCCAATCATGATGTTGTACACCTAAAACTAATACATGTCAAATTCTATCAATAAAAAAAGGCACCTGGATTTGGGACCTATTTTGTGGGTAGAACTTGTTAGAGGTGCTGAGGGATGGGTGTGGGTGTGAGAGAAAAGGAGACATCAAGCTCAATTCTCCAGTGTTGAGCCTACCAGGTGCACCGAGGGCTTATTTGCTGAGCGGAGGGCTCTTTGATGAGATGTGGAAGACCGCAGGGAGATCAGGATTAGGAGGAGTGGGAACTGAGGTGGTGAGCTTGAGATCCAAGTGGGGACTGTCAAAGATGTCAAGGAGGATGTTCTCTTCCTCCAATCAAGTGGGCTAATCTCTGGCCTCAGGACCTTTGCACTGGCAGTTCTCTTTCCCAATGGTGGGGAATGGCCTCCCCAAATTTTCACAAATGGGGCCTTTCTTGGCTTTCTGGCCGTGGCTCAAATGTCCCGTCCTTGGTGTCCTTCCCCAACCACCTGTCCCTGCAAATAAGGCCACCTCCCCCTCCATCCACCCCTACCTCAAAGACACATCATCATTTTTGAATCCTCAATAGCACTTACCACTATCGTTGTTAGCTTTCTAGCTCCCCAAACTGTGGACTCCAGGAGGGCAGGGTCTGCATCTCCTTCACCGATAAATCTGAAGCGCCAAACACAGAGCCCAACGTACAGTATAGACTCCATAAATGGTAGAATGCCTGGTTAAAAAATTCCCCCCGGACCAGACCCTGTGCAGGGCTAGGAGGACTCATGAGATACAGACCCCACCTTCGAGGGTCTCACAGTCTTGCTGGAGGGAAAGAGAGGTCAGCCTTGGTCCCAGGGGAGGTCCCTTACCCAGAGGAAGGTCAGGGAAGGCTTCCCAGAAGAAGTGACAGGTGCAACAGCCCGGGGAAGACCAGAGGGTTACGCAGCATGTGGAGGAGGCTCTGGAGACCTGCGAGGTACGGACAGCGATCACTAAACCATTTGACGAGAGACGCTCAGGGGCAGAAACTATCTGACATTTCCTGATGACTCGAATCCTGTCCAAGGGCGACGTCTAAGAAGCCATCCTCCTTCCCCAAAGGGACAGAAACGAATAGGAAAGCGCCGCGCAACGCGGTGGGTCTCCAGCAGGCGGCAGTGAAAGTAGGAATCTTCATTCATCTCAGGCTTGTCAAGACGAGACAGGGAATAACGGCTCCTCGCGGCTTCCGTATTACGGAACGCGCGCGCAAACATGGCCGCGCCCTGGATTATGGGAATCAAAGAGGGTCATGTGACGAAGCAACTTCCCGTCCCCTTCTGCAGGTTTTCCCGAGCCCTACTTCCTGCACTGTCGTACAGAAGCGCGTGCCGAGGCTTAGTGCGTTTGGAGGCCGCTGGACGCCTGGCCTGGGGCGGCTGTGATCTGGGAGTGCGGCCGCTGGAACATGGAGGGTCCTCCGGAGGGGAAGGCACCCGCGGCGGCGCTGGCCGCTGTGCTGAAGCACAGCTCGGCGCTGCCCTCCGAGAGCTCCCAAGTCCGAGGCTACGACTTCAACCGCGGCGTGGACTACCGTGCGCTACTGGAGGCCTTCGGCACCACTGGCTTCCAGGCCACCAACTTCGGGCGCGCAGTGCAGCAAGTCAACGCCATGGTGAAGCCCGGGGCGGAACTTCCTGGATTGAGGGGGTGTGGCCTAGAGTAGCGGCAATGCAGTACTTGGAGGGGGCGGGGCTCCCTTGTGAAGGAGGAGTGTCCTGTGTTGGGTGGTCCCATAGGTGGAGAGAGGCAGGGCCCATTCTGCGCGGCAGTTTCTGCGCTGGGGAGAGGACATCGTCCCCTCATCCCCAAAACATCCTACAATGAGGATGAAGTTGGGACTGATTCTAGATAGGAGGCGGGTCGTAGGTAACGAGTGAAAGTGTTCTGAACGGTGCGGTTGAGGAACCTAAGTCAGGCTCGGATGGGGAAGGGGACCGGGCCTACAAAGGTCGTGCTCTCCGATTCCTTGAAAGGGGGTAAAACCTGAGCGTGTGCCCTGAGATTTGGGCTGTGGTTGGGGGTCAGAGCCTGCACAGGGGGCGTTCGTTCCCTGGCCCCATGTATTCCAGGTAGAAGTGGTAGGGGCTAGGGCTTGGGGGCCAGAGGGTAACTTGACCCTGCCCTTAACACCTAGATAGAGAAGAAACTAGAACCGCTGTCGCAGGATGAAGACCACCATGCAGACCTGACCAAGAGCCACCGCCCACTTACTGGCTGCACCATCTTTCTGGGCTACACATCCAATCTCATCAGTTCAGGCATCCGTGAGACCATCCGTTACCTCGTGCAGCACAACATGGTGGGGACCTGGTGCGGTTGTGGTCTTGGCCTCTCTAGGTCTTATGGGGGCAATAAAATTATTGGTCATTTAAATGACACAGGGAGACAGGGTCAGTTTTTTTTTTAATTTTTTATTGTTATGTTAATCACCATACATTACATCATTAGTTTTAGATGTAGTGTTCCATGATTGATTGTCTGTGCATAACACCCAGTGCTCCATGCAGAACGTGCCCTCTTTAATACCCATCACCAGGCTAACCCCTCCTCCCACCCCCCTAGACAGGGTCATTTTAAGCAGAGGGACACGATCTACTTTTGTTTTGCAGTAAAGCTTTCTCCAAGGGTCACTGGGTTAGTGTTGGGAGTTAGGAGCCCTACCTGGGATGAGGGCAGGGCCCTTCTTTCTGGGCTAACCTCACTGACTTGTGGCCGCAGGTGGACGTCTTAGTGACCACAGCTGGCGGTGTGGAGGAAGATTTTATCAAGTGCCTGGCACCCACGTACCTGGGCGATTTCAGTCTCAGGGGGAAGGAGCTACGTGAGAACGGGATCAACAGGTTGGGGGCCCTGAGTGGTGCTGGGCAAAGGAGGTGGGCGGAGGGTCCTGGGGCCTGATGCCCACGTGCCTCATTTTCACAGGATTGGAAACTTACTGGTGCCCAATGACAATTACTGCAAGTTTGAGGACTGGTTGATGCCCATTCTGGACCAGATGGTGCTGGAGCAGAACACGGAGGTGGGGCAGGAGCGACCTGGGGGCCGGCGTGGTAGGAGTCGGGAGGCACTGCAGGCTGAAGTCCAATGTCTCCTCCTAGGGTGTGAAGTGGACACCTTCCAAGATGATTGCCCGCCTGGGCAAGGAGATCAACAACCCAGAATCAGTGTATTACTGGGCCCAGAAGGTGAGGGGCTGGGTGGGGCACGGATACCAGGCCTTGGCACATATTAGCTTGTTTCACCTTCATCGCCCCCTGGAGAACCAAGTCATCATTTCCACTCTTAGGTGAGGAACCCGACACAGAGGTTAGGTAATTTGTCTGAGGCTGCACAGCCACTGAGTGTGACCTTGGTATCCTGGCTCTACTCCTAGACCACCCGGGATCAGTTGGGGGGGTGCCATGGGTCCCATGCTCCTCCAATGCGGAGGTCCAGCGGTCAGAGTAGTGAGAGCTACACGATCCTTTGTGTTCTGTCTGGTTTCATCACATATGCTTCTTCATCTGTGAGGGCGGTGCTGTTGCTGTCTCCATTTTACAGTTGAGGAAACTGAGGCCCAGACAACTTAAGCGCTCTGCCCAGAATCAGGCAGAGGAGGGGATGCCACTGGGATGGGGAACAGCCTGCCCCCACTGGGCTCTGAGCTCCAGTCGCTCTTGTCTTGCTGTCCCCCAGAACCACATCCCTGTGTTGAGCCCAGCGCTCACTGACGGCTCCCTGGGTGACATGATCTTCTTCCATTCCTACAAGAACCCCGGCCTGGTCCTGGACATCGTCGAGGGTGAGGTGCTGGGGCCACAGAGCAGGGGAGGAGGGCTGGCTGGGTCCGTAGCCTGACCCCAGCACTCTTCTCCCAGACCTGCGGCTCATCAACACACAGGCCATCTTTGCCAAGAGCACTGGCATGATCATCCTGGGCGGGGGTTTGGTCAAGCATCATATTGCCAACGCCAACCTCATGGTGAGTGGGGACAGAGTACCTGGTCCCTAGTGAGGGTGGTATGTGCGCTAGGCCTATGCCATGTGCCAGGGAGACAACTGTGGACTAGACAGGCCAGGATCCCTGTCCTCCTAGACTGATGTTCTAGTCAGGGAGACAGGCAGCGAGCAAGTGACATGCAGGTCACGTGGCAGTTAACTGCTGTGGGAAAAAACGGATGACATGATGGCAAGAGAAACAAGGTTCTGGGAAAGACAGCCGGTGAGCAGAGGAAACGGCCAGTGCAAAGGCTCTGAGGTGCCTGAATGAAGTCCAGGGACAGTTAGCAAGCCGGTGAAAGGGAGCGGGAGGCGACCAGCAGCTGGAGCCAGGCTTCCAGGGCGGCCACTTGCGTGCTCACAGGCGCCCTCTCTGAACAAATGGCTGGTCCGGGAGGAATGATGGGGCCAGACCAGGGTGGGAGTCTTTGTATGTGGTGGCAGCCCCTGCTGAGTAGCTGTGGGAGAGTTGTTGCTCCCTAGTCGGTGGGTTTGGGGCAGCTCTGCCCATCAACCCTACCAACCCCCAACCTCGCACTCTGCTCACGCACTGATGTGGGGCCCTTCCTGTGGAGGGGCCACTACGGGCTCCCGGCATGCAGGACGCAGCCCTCAGCCTCTGCAGCCAGCGCCGACCCCCATGTGCAGTGACTGGCTGACCAGCTCACCCTGCCCCTCCCCACAGCGGAACGGGGCCGACTACTCTGTCTACATCAACACGGCCCAGGAGTTTGATGGCTCGGACTCTGGCGCCAGGCCGGACGAAGCAGTGTCTTGGGGCAAGATCCGGGTGGATGCCCAGCCTGTCAAGGTGAGGGCTGGTCAGCTGGCTGGGGCGCAGAGTCTCCCAGAGCGCAGCCACGGGCCCTGTAGTTCACCCAGGTCCCGTCTACAGGTCTATGCCGACGCCTCCCTGGTCTTCCCCCTGCTTGTGGCTGAAACCTTTGCCCAGAGGAGAGATGCCTTCGTGCCTGAGAAGAATGACGACTGAGTGGCTACGGTTCCAGGGAAGTCCCCCCTCGCCTCTATTTATTAGCTTGCACACCCAACCCCTCCCTCCCTCCTTGATCAGCCTCGTGTCTAGAATAAATGGTCTCCGTGATCCTGCTGAGTCTGTGTCCGTGTCCTTGGCGGCAGTGGGTCCCCACCTTCAGCTGGTGCCACCCTCAGCCTCATAAGCCTCCTCCCGCCAGCACTGGACACTGCCCCCCACAGCGGTCAGCAGGCAGGGCTCCGTGGGGTGGAAGGCCAGTGACTGCACCACACCTGGACCCACGGGCAGGGCCAGTGCCAGGGCACCCTGTGGAGGGAAGGGGCGGGCAGTGGGTATCCGTGCGTCCCTCTCTGCTGACCTTCAGCCACCCGCCTCTAATGGCTTCCCAGGCACTGCAAACCTCAGCTGCCCCAAAATGAAGCCCTGAGTTGCTCCATCCTTTGGAGCACGTGTGGCTCAGGCTGAACATCTTGGAAGTCTTCCTCTTTCACGCTTCCCACCCCGTTTATCTGTCGGCAAGTGCTCCTGGCCCAGCCTTTAGACCACATCGGATCTGCATTCACAGCCACCACGTTGCTCCGATCCTGTCCCGTCCGTTCCCGGCTTCTCCACCCTGCCACTGTCTGGGCTCCAGGGGCCCACTGGGCAGCCTCTGTGCTCACTTCGTGCATCAGCTTACAGTCACCGCTCAACACATTCGATCCCTCAAGCCTGCCCCCGATTGCTCTTCCCACTTCAAAAATGTCCCTCCACGCACTGCCCCCTTGAGAGTGACTTTCAGTCTGACAGACTCTAGAGAAGTAGGCGGAACATGGCGCATTCTTAGTTGCCAGAGAGAGCTGGGCCCTCAAGTCTCCCCCAGTTTCCTCCATCCTCTTAGGGGCATTACTTTCCCTGGTCAAGCCCCAGCCCTGACCCCATGAGGCCAGACTAATAGTCTGTTCCCAGCCTGACCTCTCCACCAGGCCGAGACACAGCAGGACAGGGCTCACAGGGTTTGGGACTAGAAACCATGGGGATGCTCAGAGGTAGCTCAGGGTTTCTGAACTACTGCCCCATCTCAGCTGGGGTCAGATGTGGCTGTCGGCCCCACTCCCCCCAGGGTCAGTCCCTATGGTCGGCTGGGCTTGCTTAGTGTGGCCCTGTTGCTGCTGCCATCCCACAGTCCTTCTGTCCCCTGACCCAAGTGTGCCACACCTCCAAGCCTTAGCACACACTGTTCCCTTTGCCAGGAATGCCCTTCCTGCTTTATTTTCTCACTCACTCTTCCAAGCCCCCAGCTCTAATAGCATTCCTTTGTGCAGGTGTGGGAGTTGCTAGGGAGTTGCCTGAGACAGAGCAGGCAGCCTGGTAAGGAGTCGGGGTGAGGAGGCTCACCTCCACCAGGTCCCAGAAGTACACCTTCCCGTCCTCAGAGCAGCTGACCACGTGTGTGTCACGCTCGCTCAGGCAGCAGTCCAGCTTGTACTCCTGGTTCTTATGGCCCGAGTACCTGGGGGTGGGTGGGATCAGGAGGGCTTGGGTCCTAGCAGAGGTAGGGGAGGGACCCCACCACCCCAAGGACTCACTCGCCCAGCAGCTCCCCTGTGTCCTTGTCTAGAAGCCGCAACGTGGAGTCCAGGCTGGACACCAGGGTGCACTGCCCGTCCCGGCTGAAGCAGGTACAAGTGATGGGGCCTGGGGGCAGGGAGGGGCGCAGGTGGGTGAAGCTGGGGCCCCCTTTGCTGCCCCCCACCTGCCCTGCCCGCCCCACAGCCCTGCCACACTCACTGCCCACATAGTCTGAGAAGAGTTGCCCCATCCTCAGGTCATAGCGCCTCACCCGGCCGTCCACGGAGCTGCAAGAGGATGGATCCAGCTGAAGCATCAACTGGGGCCAGTAGGTCCATGGCTCCAGTCCCTGTACTCTCCCTGACCCTGCCAGGACCCTGGCGGGGGGGTGGGGAGGGAGGTGGGCTTGCCCTTCCTGTGCACCCTTCGCTGTCATGCTCACACTTATGGCTACCCGTGGAAAATAAACATTGAAATGAATTTTTCAGTGGAATTCCAAGGCACTGGCTTTGAGACTTACACCCAGGGCCAATGAGGACCTACTCCATTGGTTTCTGATATGCACTGAGCATCCTCTCTGGGCTAGTCCTTGGGACACGGCTGCGACAAAGCCAGGAGCACTTTCTGCCATCATAGAGACTTGCTGACTAGGCCTCCCCAAGGAGGTGGCCTCTAAACTGGGACCTGAAGGATAAGGAGATAAACGTGTGGTCCAGGAGAAGATGTGTGGGAAGGGACCAGCCAACAGGCTGGGCAGCCCAAACTTACCCCCCCCCGCCCCCACCACAGTGGGAATGGCACTCCTTTGGGTTGTGGCAACAAACGGGCAGCCCTGCTTGGGAATTTTCATTGCTTGCCTCTTGCAACTAGAATATCAACCTGATGTGGGCAGAGATTTTTCCCTATTTCATTAACTGCTGTATGTTCACTGACTAAAAAAGTGGTATGCCAGAAGCTCAAAAACACTTTGAGTAAGTAGAAAGAGAGTCCAGGTAGAGAAAGAGCAATTGCAAAGATCCTGAGGTGAGAGCATCTTGGCATAGTAAGAAAAATGAGACCTGGAATGAATAAAACCTAACAGATCAGCAGAGAGCACTGTGCAGGGCCTTGTAAGCTGAGGTGAGAAGAGTAGATTTTAATCTAAGTAGCGAGGCAGTGGTGATCCCCAGTGGCACCAGGGGAGGGGTGAAGTCCTGGCTCCACTCACCCTGCCAGGACCTCATGGTCTGACACCTTCACACTGGATATGCCATCCCTGGCTTCGTCCAGCCTCTGCACTGGCTCAGGCCTCCGCGATCGGCAGTCCCAGCAGCGTATGCTGGAATCGATAGAGCCTGTAAGGGCCAACATGAAGGTGAGGTCGGGTTTGGGCCACAGGGGCAGTACCCTGCCTAGGCTCCAGACTCACCAGACAGGATGACTGTGGCCTCTTCATTAAACTGGACCGTGTTCACTTTCTGAGAAACAGGGATTGCCACTCAGAGGAGGCTGGACTTTGGAGGACTGGGATAAAGGCAGGGTTCCGGATGCAGGTTAAAGCAAGGGCAAAGGAGGGGCGCCTGGGTGGCTCATTCGGTTAAGTGTCTGCCTTCAGCTCAGGTCATGATCCCAGAGTTCTGGGATCGGGCCCCACACAGGGATCCCTGCTATGCGGGAAGCCTGTTTCTCCCTCTCCCTCTGCCCCCCCCTTCTGCTCTCTCTCTCTCTCTAATAAATAAATAAAACCTTAAAAAAAAAAAAGTAAAGGCTAGAGATAGAGGAGGTGAAAGGTTTTGGGAAAACTGCATGCTGGGCCATGGGGAAAGGAGCCTTGCTCTGTAATGGGTAGGGGTGGAAGGGTTTCCTGTCACCACCTACACGATAATGTGGGTCCTCTCCTCCACCCACGCTCTAATGAGGCCTCTTTTTGTTTGTACTCACCCCCGCGTGGCCCCGGAATTTGCGAACGACCTGCCCCGATGCCACATCCCACAGCACCACCGCCTTGTCCCCGCCGCCGGAACACAGACTGCTGTTGTCAAAGGAGCTGGAGGGCAGAGGAGGGAAGATCAGTGCTGACCTCAGATCCCAATCTCTGCACCTGTATCTCGGCCTGGCCCCCGGCTCACCCGGCCGCGTCCAGCACCTCGTAGCCGTGGCCACTGTACGTCCGCAGTAGCGTCCCTCGCAACGGATTCCACAGCTTCAGGGTCTTGTCGCTGCCGCACGTCAAACAGTAATTGCCATCCACTGGGGAACACCAGGAAGGGGTTATAGGGCTTCGGACCTCAGAAGATAGGAGGACCCGGAATGAAGAGGGAGCTCACCATTAAATCGTACAGCTCGCACTGCCCCCTGCCCGCAGTCCAGCGTCTTCACCCGTTTTTGCGGCAGCTCCGGGCCCCGTGGTTTCGGCTCAGGGAAAGCCATTTGCTTCGGGACCCCTTCCTTGCCGCCTGACACCGGTTTGCACAGAGGATTCCGAACCCTCGGAACCCACGCTTGGATGTAACCGTATTGTCTTCCGTAGTCTACTTCCTATTACTCACTTCCGGTTCAAATGTTCGGCTTTTTTCGGGACAGTGCGGGGAATATTGAAACCTGATTCCAGCTTCTAGGTTTCTTTCCCCACTTCTTGTTTTCAAGGAACATTTTTGGTCTCTTCTAATTCTCTGTCCCTTGGCTGGGAGGAGTCCTGGCCCCCGCCGCTGGGAACGGAAGTTCGAAGCCTGTGGGTGCTACTCTAAAAGCCACCCTCCGTTTCCGCGCCGGAAGCTGCAACTCCCGTAGCGGAAGAGGCACGACCTCCGACCTGCCATGTCCACTAACAATATGTCGGACCCACGAAGGCCGAACAAAGTGCTGAGGTGAGGACCCCAACGTCACGGGGACAGGGCTCGGGTTGTGGGGCGAGGCCCAGGGAAGCGCTTGTCCATTTCGGGGGGCGGGACTTTGAGCGCCTCTGACCCTTGAGCCTGTCGCAGGTACAAGCCCCCGCCGAGCGAGTGTAACCCGGCCTTGGACGACCCGACGCCGGACTACATGAACCTCCTCGGCATGATCTTCAGCATGTGCGGTCTCATGCTCAAGGTGGGAGGCGCTGAGTTTCCTTTGGCGTAGCTCCGCCTGATAGCGAAGCCGGTGGGGGGAGCCGATTCGGAATGAAGCGGGGCTGACGCTGAGGGGGCGGGGCGTGGGCCTGGCCGGGGGCGGGGCTGCGGTGTTGCCGGGCGGAGAAAGCCAGAGCCAGGAGGGAGGCCAGGGGTCAGGGTGAGTACATGGGAGGTCGGTCTGAAGGTGGGGCCAGGTTTTAAAGTAATTTGGAGGGGACTCGTGGAGAAAGGATGGGGTTCTTAGCATCACGAGCTATGTCAAAGGCCAGTCTTCTTAGGCCTGAGAGTATGTGGTGCGGACAGAGACGCAGGCCAAGAGAGTAGGACGAGAAACTGGGTACCTGGAATAGGCTAGGGGGAATGGGACTGAGGGATTCTTGGGGATAAGGCCCAAGCTGCGTCGGGTGGAATCAGTGGGTTGGAACCCGTGCCTGGGAATGCCCCTATGGGGGTTCATTGGTGTGCCTGTCACTGACCGAATACCCCCATCCACCTGCCTTTCCCCAGCTGAAGTGGTGCGCTTGGGTGGCTGTCTACTGCTCCTTCATCAGCTTTGCCAACTCCCGGAGCTCTGAGGACACTAAACAGATGATGAGTAGCTTCATGTGAGTCTAGGTCTAGAGAAGGAGGACTCCTAAGTGGGAGAGGGGGACCCAAGCCTACCCATCCTGGCCTTACACTTCTCTCCTGTCTCAGGCTGTCCATCTCTGCCGTGGTGATGTCATATCTGCAGAACCCTCAGCCCATGACGCCCCCCTGGTGAAGTCAGCCTAGGACTACTCTGTACACCTTCCCCCAGGCCTGGCCCCTGGCTGTTCAGCCTCTGCCCTCAGCTGGTGTCCTGGGCTTCCCTGAATGAGGTAGTCTCAGGACTCAAGCTGGATGGAGGGAACCTGACCCATTACCTGGGATTCCACTTCTGCTGGGCAGAGGGGAATACCCTAGGCCTACCCCTCCTGCCTGCCTTCCCCACCCTGCCTGCTGCTGGGGGAGATGCTGTCCATGTTTCTACGTGTATCCACTCGTTTTTTTGTTGAAACCAGTTAATTATTAATAAAGTTTTGCATTCTGGCTGTTCTTTGGGACCTCTCTCCTGGGCATTGCCGGTGCTCTTCCTGTTGGGGGAAGGGCTCCAGATCCTCCACTCAGGCCTTTGTTGGGGCTTTAGCCTGGAGCCTTCTGGTCGTTCACTTGCTTATTTCACAAGCCTTGTGACTTAAGTCAGTTGCCAGAGGCAGGACAGTGATCCCTGTCTTCTGGCAACTCAGCAGATGGGTTCTGCTGACCTGAGGAATGTGGGTTTTCATTTTCTTTTTTTTTTTTTTGAAGATTTTATTTATTTATTTGACACAGAGAGAGAGAACACAAGTAGGCAGAACAACAGGCAGAGGGAGAGGGAGAAGCAGGCTCCCCGAGGAGCAGGGAGCCTGATGCGGGGCTCGATCCCAGGACGCTGGGATCATGACCTGAGCCGAAGGCAGCCGCTTAACCGACTGAGCCACCCAGGCGCCCCGGGTTTTCATTTTCTTATCAGACAAATCGGGTAGTATCAGTGAGCTGGATGGACTAATTGGGATTGGGAAAAGCATGAAAGACTGAGTCCTCCCCCACCTGTCACTCCTCACCTGAGTCCCATGGGTATTTCTTCCAATCAGGCTGGATACCTCCCATCCTCAGTACCCCAAGGGCAGTTCCTCTGTGCTTAATCCTCATAGGACAGAACAGGACCACCATCAACCCCTGCTCCTAGCAAACTAGGTCCCTCCAAGACCCTAGCCCTGAAGATCAATGGAACATCCTAGGATCCCACGCACACACTCCCACCTCCTAAGCAAACTACACCCGGAGGAAAGTCTGAAGCCTCTGCGTCCACGGGGACAAAGGGACACTCCGAGGACACTCGGAGACGGTGAGACACTAACGGCTCCCCTGGTTAAACCAGCACCGGAGGGTGGGACATGCCCAACGCCTCCGTATACTCCCCAGGGGCTAGCCAGAGCTGAGGCCTCAGGCCAGTGACACGCCCGGCAGCACCCTAGCCCCGCCCCCGCCAGCAACCATTGGCCAGGTCGGGTTCTGGGGGCGGGGCGTTTGCCCGGCCACTCCGGGCCCGGGAAGTCCCTGGTGGCGGCTGCGGTGGCTGTGGCGGCGGCGGCGGCGGCGGCAGCTGCGGAGCCATGGTCGCCGACGCGCGGCCTTCGGGGGTCCGCGCTGGCGGTGGCGGCCGGGGCGCGTCAGGGCCCACGACGAGCTCCCGCGCGCTGCAGCCACCGCTCCCGCCTCTCTCCTTCCTCTTTTTGTTGTTGGTGGCGGCGCCCGGCGCTCGGGCCGCGGGATACGAGGTGAGCGTGGCCCGGGAGCGGAAATGTACACAAGCTGGAGCGAAGCCCCGAGTAGGGTCCGGAGGTGTGGGTGGGTTTGTTCTGTGGGTGCGTAGTGAATGGTTGTTAATATGACAGTGTGGCCTGAAGGCATGCTTTGCGTCGTTGAAAGATCTGGCCGTGAGAGTCTGAGCATTGGGCTCTCTGTACCTGCCTCCTTCCTTCTGTGGGTCGGCTTGCCTGGACTTTGCATGCACTTAACTGTGTGATTGGACATATGTGTGTATGTGGGAGCCGGGGGGGGGGATTGCTTGAGAGCTGGGACTCTGGAGTCAGCCTGCCTGGAGTTCCAGTCTGGCTCCCTGACTTTCTGGCTGTGTGACTTGGGGCAAGTCACTTAACCACTCTGATCCCCAGTGCTCTCATCTGAAAATGAGATACTGCCCCCCAAGCCCCAGGGTGGCTGCTTCCTATTTGCAAACGCCTAATAATCATTTGCTACTACTATTACTGGTAACCCAGGGTGTGAGTGAGAGCTGCCCTGAGGAGTTGTGTCAAGTGGGGGTTGTATTTGTATGCCCAGCTCTGTGGGTGTCCTCCCTAGAAGGACCTGGCCCCATTTCTCTGAGTCACTCACCTCTAGATCAAAACTTATCTTGTGTCCCCAGCCCCACCCCAGCCTGCTTCTTAACCTCGGTGTAACTGACAGGATGTGTGTATTTGGGGTCCCTGTGCAGACATGCCCATTGGTGCATCCGGACATGCTCAACGTGCACCTGGTGGCCCACACGCATGACGATGTGGGCTGGCTCAAGACTGTGGATCAGTACTTTTATGGCAGTGAGTAGAGCATGGAGACTTCCCCGTGGGGCCCCCTTGCCCCTTTGAGCCCTTCAGATCCTTTCTGGGTCCTGGACATTGGGAGGGAGGACATTGTCCAGTTTGAGCTCCTGTGTCTAAGAATGCCCCCCTTGGCTCATTTGTCCCTGACTGCCTGACCCCTGTGCCCACAGTCCAGAATGACGTCCAGCATGCGGGGGTGCAGTACATCCTAGACTCAGTCATCTCTTCCCTGCTGATGGAGCCCACCCGCCGATTCATCTATGTGGAGATTGCCTTCTTCTCCCGTTGGTGGCACCAGCAGACAAATGCAACACAGGAAGTTGTGCGGGACCTGGTGCGCCAGGGTGAGCCTGCCTGAAGGAAGTGAAAAGAGGAAGCCCAGCTCAGCTCTGTTTCTGACCCTCCACCAGCTTCTGAGATTTTATCATGTCCTGTGCAGCCTGTATGTGCATGTGGCTCTGCCTGCCTGGAATTTCCCTTTATTTGTAGAACTCCTATGCATCCTACAGGGCCCCACCTCCAGGGGATCCTCAGGGAAGCCTGCCATGCAGGGGGCCCTCTGTTCCATGTCTGGCTACACTGGCTTGGGAGTGACTCCTCTTCTCCCTCCAGGCCTAGGTTTGCAGGCAGGCCTTCTTATCCCCTTCATTGCCACCCCTGGCCCCAGTCCTGGCCCTGACAATCCACCCAGACTGCCCTTCCCGCACAGGACGCCTGGAGTTTGCCAATGGTGGCTGGGTGATGAACGATGAGGCAGCCACCCACTACGGAGCCATCATAGACCAGATGACGCTTGGATTGCGCTTTCTGGAAAACACATTTGGCAAAGATGGGCGCCCCCGTGTGGCCTGGCACATTGACCCCTTTGGTCACTCTCGGGAGCAGGCCTCGCTGTTCGCACAGGTGATCTACCAACCTCACTCCTAGCTCTGACTCCTCCCTTGGCCACTCAAGCCCCACCCTTCCCTGCAAGCTCACCTGGCCCAGGCCCTGTCCCCTGGTCCCTTGAGGCCCTGCCTCTTGGGTGAGCTATGAATCCCATTACTGCCTGCCCACCCCCCACCGCC